GATGAAATAAAATATAATGATATGTTAGTAAATAGAAATAGAAACAATGAATAACAAGAAGAAATAAAACAAATAAAGAATATGAAAATTGAATAAGAAGAATATTAAATAATGTATTGATTGAAATAATATAACAAATAGGTATTATTTTGTAAATTAATAACAATGATTAAAATGATTAATAACAATAATATTCTCACAAAACATCATTGTTATATCATTTTATTTATATACAATATTTCAATTATTTATTTATTTATTGTATTATTTATATATTTCACAATCATTATATTGTTTTATTTATTATTTATTGTATTAATTCATAATATAATTTTCTTTAAATTTCATGAATATGTGTATGAATTTTAATAAGAATAATGAAATGATTAATATTAAATGATTATTCACTCGATATAATATAAACATCAAATGAATAATTATGTTAAATGAAATTGAAATAAACAAATAATTCAATTGTTCATTCATTTGATTTAATAAAATTTCAAAAATTTTATTTAAAATTTTTAATCAAATATATTTTATTTTTGAATATTAAACATATTAAAAATTAATTTATTTATTAATCATTGTATAAATACTCAAATAAACAAATAAATAACAATTTGTTATGAAAAATGAACAATAATGATAATACATGTATTATAATGATATTGAATTAATAAATATAAACGAAATAACAATAATTTTTATTTTTATTTTTAATAATGTTTTTCATATTCAATAATACACAAATGAAGATTCAATGTTCAATAATTATTATTTTATTTGTGTATATAAAAATAATTGTCATTCAACTAAAATTATTAATTATTTATATTTATTAATATGATTATTTTCAATTAGAAATGAAATAAACAAAATGATATTTAAAGAAATAATAAATATTTTATTAAACAATACAAAATAATGATAAATAATGATAAATAATATTATAATTTAATTCATTATTGTATTATTTTTGTTATTAATTATTTGTTATATTCAATTAATTCTTCATTCAATTCTTTATACTATAATGTATCATCATCAATTGTGAATCATAATTACAAAATGAGAATAATTATTATTTTTAGTTAATGTTGATTCATTGTGTATAATATGATTTTTACATTATGTACTTTATTAATAAACAATATTTGTTAATAATTCAATTTATTTGATATTATTTATGTGATATTTTAGATTTCTTTTATCTTTTTCTTATTTTTTGATATATTTTATTGAAATTGTTTATTTGTTGATTTAATTATTATTATTCGTTTATAAGGAACAATTTTCATTTATTTTATTTCATGTATATTTTAAATGAAATTCTTATTTGTATATTCATCACATTAATTAAATATTTCATCAATAAATAAATAAAGAAGAAATAATTTAATTATAATATAAATGAGAAATATTATTTGAATTTAATTTAATGAATAAATAATAAATTAAGAATGAATAATAATGTCATTAATCATAAATCATTCAAAACAGAAAATACATTAATAATAAATAATCACACTATAAAATAAATGATATATTAAAGAAATATAGTTATTATCAAATATCTTTCTTTTATTTATATTTTAATTTCATTTGTTGTTTCATTAAATAATAAATAATAGATATTTTATGTAAAATTGAATTTATTCAAATAATGATAAATGTAAAATCATAAAAAGAAGTGATTTAACTGTGAAATATTCAGAGATATTCAACACCAGTTGGATAAAGTGGATCAGTAGCAACACCACATGTATTTCCTTCAATAACCATGTTGATATATCCTTTCTCTCCCCATCCTGTTCCCCATGAGTTTCTAACTATCCAACATTCTTTCCCATCAACAACACCATATCCAACAGCACAAACTTCATGATTCAATGCAAAATAGTTATTCTTGCATTGTTTGTCTGTATATGCTCCACTCTTGTATAACTGGAATTGAACAGATGATGCATCAATTGAAACATCAACAAGACCTTGTGAAATTGCTGCTTTAAGTTCAACTTCATTATTTCTTGCAACTCGATTATAACTCTTGATTTTAGCAAATGCTTTCACATCACTTCTACATGTTGAATCACTTCCTGTGTATGGATAATCACTTTCTTTAGCAATTCCATTTTCCATAATATAATTATAAACATTTGATCCAAGTCCTCCATTACATCCATTATTTCCATCTTCCCTAGTACATTGAACCATATGTTCTTCTGAAAGATCAAGTGTCTCACTATCACCACCTTTCTCAATTAATAATCTTCCTTCAAGTGCTGCAATCGATCCAAATGTATAACATGACCCACAATTCCCTTGATCTCGAATTGGTGTTACTTTCCCTTTTTTTCTCCAATCTACTGCTTTGGGTGCTTGGATATTCAAATATCTAACTTCTCCTTTTTCTTCACCACTTCGTTTTAATTTCAGAAGACTATTATATTCTTCATTTGTCATAGCAGCAAATGGTCCATCTACTGATAATTTGAATGTTTCTTTTCTATTGTTTTCTGCAACAATTCTTGCATTCATATTGAAGATTGCTCTTCTTCGGAGTGACTCAACTGCTGTGAAGTGTTTATTGTTATTGGCAACCCATGTATTGAAATCAATCCCATATCCAATATAAAACATCAAAATGAAAGTGAACATTGTTGATATTTTCTATTCTTTTTGAGTTTAAATACATACACTTTGAAAACAAAGAAATTTTATTTCAAAATGAAAAATCTATAATGAATGTTATTTCATGTTGAAATTGAAGAATGAATCAAATAAATATTTAAATTATTGGTTGAGTGTATTCAAACTCCTTTATTTTTATTAAAAACAAATATTCATTATTAAAATAATTTGATAATATTGATATAATATTTCAATGTAAAATAATGAAAAGTCTTAAATATATTTTAAACAAACAAACAAACAAATAATAACAAGATGACAATTATTCATTTTGTCACTCTTCATTGATAATATTATCTTTTTATTTTTATTGATTCAACTGAAGATATAAATTAACATGATTATTTAATTAATTAAAACAATTAAAATGTTGTTGTTTTGTATATTTATAATTATATATGATATTATCTGTTTATATTCATTCAGTATTCCTCAATCAATATTTTATTGTATTATTCTTGTAATTATTCATTTTGAGATTTTATCAATTTATTTAATTAATGAACTGACGAATAAAATATCATTCTGTATTATCATTCATGAAATTTAATATTCATTTTATTTCTTTTATAATACTCATCTTATTAAGTTATTGATTTCAATTATTTGATGTGTTGATATTTCTCATTCATATTTATTTTGTTTATGAAAAGTGTTGAATGTTATTTCAACAAGAAGAGAAATGTTATAACAATAAAAATTGTAATTAAATACTTTAATGAGTAAATTAATAAAGAATAAAGTATTGTATCACTTGAATCAACACACCAAAACAAAATCTAAATAAATGATATAAATGAATTGTCTTGATTATTCATTTATTATTTGTATTAATCATTTGAACAAATAAAAATGAATATAAATAATATAATAATCAATAATCTAATAAATATACCATGATACATTCTACAAATAAGAGAATGAATAATATAATAACAAGAATAAAAATGAAATGCATAAAAATAAATGATAATTCATTTCTTAATAAATAAATACACATTATTTTCACTCTATTATAATTCAAAATGGTATAAAATTAAAAATGATAAAATAACAATAATCAACACCATTAAATGAAAATAATCATACAAAATGAATTTCATAAATAATTAAAAAAAGCAATTAATTAAGTATTAATAGAAATAGCTTCTATTCTTCCTGGATTAATGGAGACTAATCCCGTCCCTTCGTCTTCTTCTTCAAGCAGCTCTACAGAGTATGTTTGGTTATGACTGAAGCAGTATTCCATGACATCCATCATGTTTTTAATTACATGGTTTTTAATTTCTTTCTCGATGTCAATTTTTAATTCTTTAATTAATTTATTACTTTCTTTATTTATTATTCCATTTATTGAAATTACTACTGGATTTATTTTTTCTATTTTCAATAGAATATTCTTTAATTCCTTATACTTATTTCTTTTCTTCAAATAGGCTCCATTAATGTTGTGATCAGCCACAATAGTCATATCAAATATTATATCAGTTTTGTTCTTTTTATCTAATACATATATATCTTGTATTTTGTGATATTGTCCATCACTTTTAGGCATTATTTGTTTATTCAATATCATTGTGATGTCTTTATATTTGAACATTGTTTCATATGGGGGTTTTTTATATTATTTATTTCCTGTATATTTTCTTATTAATTAATATTATAATGCCAATATTGTCATGTTTTTCCATTTGTGATTTTTTATGATAAATACAAGATAGTAGAATGTGCTCTACTGTAGCTATCTTGTCTTTACACAGTGTTGAGTATTTCAATCTTTCATTTTTTAACACCAATAAAAAATAACAATAAATTATCAAAATGCAAATAAATAATAACAACAAATGAAATTAAAAACACTCATTTCTATAGTACCTTTCATTTCATCAATACTGATATTAAATATATTTAACAAATAAAAGATGTTTAATAGTTTAACATTCTGTTTATTTGATAAATCTGTTTATTTTGTGAACAACTAATTTCTTTCTTGACAATAATAAAAGAAAGTACTTAATTTCACTTCTAATATTCTAAAAACAGTTAAACAAATTTAAATATTGTTAATTTGTTTATTACATTAGTTTTTATTTGTCGATACCCACTAACCAGTATTTTGTTTTGACAGTTGTTGTTTACTTAAATCTTACAAACTTTGTTATATTATCTAATATTGTAAATCTTTATTATATAGATTTGGTTCATTTCAGTTATTATACGTCATCAATATAGTTTATCGTGTTTCATTTCATTAACTTAATTTTTCTAACATTTATGTAGTTTCAAATAAGTAAAACAATAACACTATTATCCATAACCATGTAATGATTATAATATACAATAATTATTTTTCATCTCCAATGTTTCTTTGTTGATTTATCAAGAAAAAGTAGAATAACCATGAAAATAAAACTATACTCTAAATGTATTTTAACTGATATTTATATTACGTTGAATATTGTAACCATGACTTTGTCAATCAATGCATACTAGATATTATAAAAGATAGATTGTATTGAGAGAACAATTAATTAGAATTATGAAAATGAGATACAAAACAATCTAACCTTATTGGTTTGAAGAAATAACATACCAATAACCAAGTTTAATTTTGTTAAAACCACACACTTATTTAGAAATGGCAAACTTGCTTTTCTTTAACATTACCAATGCCTTCTCATAAACTGTCATACAACATGATTTGATATTGTTCATATAGCAAATATTACATGTAAATTCAACAAATTAGATAATAACAAACAATAGATATAGGAACAAAAGGAGAATAGTAATGAATAAATTAGTGATAAATTGAAGAGTATAAAACTAACAAATTTGTTTATTTAGAATGACATGAATTATTGTTTCAACAAAATTATTTACAACTCCAACAACATAAATTAAATATAATTCAACCATAGTACCCTTTAATTAATGAGATATTTTCTTGTGTTTTTGTGAAGACACATGTTAAATGAGTTTTAATTCTATCCAAGTTGTTAATAAAACCAAATTCAAATATTAAGAAACTTAAAGCATAAAACAAGTAAAATAAAAAACACTTTAATTTGCTTTATGTTATCTGCATTCTTTTAAGTAATAAGTAATTTATAATTAAAGAAGAATATAAACGTTAGTTTAATGATAAAAATTCTTTTTTATTTACTTAAAATACACTATTTTATTGTTCATTAGTGATATTCTTTTGTGGTAAAAATGAAAAAAATCAATTGAAGGATGAATTATTGAATTATTGATTATCAACACTCTCTGACTCGAGTTGTATTGATTTTATTATATTATCTAAGTTGATTGTTTCTTTCGGCTGAATCTCTTCAATTTGTTTGAAAACCTCTTGAATACCATTAATTGTTGTTTCTTTAATAACTGATCTCAACACATTTTGTACTTCATCCATATTATCAAAATCTTCTATTCCAATGACAGTATCAGCATATACTTTTTGCATGACTCTCTTCATTCCTGTATCACATTCTGTTCTAATTTGTTCAAACAATGAAGTTATATCAACTTCTTTCTTTTTTTCTTCTTCAATGAGTTGAATTATTTTTTCTTTAGACACACCTTCTTGCTTATTTTTCAATTCATTAAGTTCACTTGACAGTTGTTCATTTACTTTCTTAGAATTTTCAACTTCTTTCTTCGCTTCATCTAATTCTTTCTTCAATTTTTCATTTTCCAATACTGTTTCTTTAACTTTTTGTTCCATCTCATCTTTTTCTTCTTTTAGTTTTAAAACCATCCCAACAACATCTCCTTCTTTACCTTCTAGTCTTGTGTTTAGTCTTTTTATCATTTCACTCATGCTTTGGAGTTGTTGACTAATTTCCTTCCATTCTTCTTGAGTCTTTTGTGGATGGTTATTTTTTTGAACATTCTCGTTGTTAGATTGTTTCATTTCTTCATTTTCATTACACCCTTCATCAGTAACTTCTTTTGACTCTTTCAGTGTCTTGTCAATGACTGTTGGAGTCAATCCAGCTAATGGTTTCCCAATTGAAGAAACTCTTTCTAACACAGTTTTTGTCGATTTGTTTTCTGTTGACTCAGACTGTTCTAATAACTCACTTTTTCCTATAAACTCAACAGTTAAATCTTTCTCTTTTGATTCAGACCTTTCTATCTTTTCAATACATATACATATTAATTGTGTTCCAGTGTGTTTTATTAACTCTAAATTTTCTGGTGTTCCAACAATGATAGCAGTTGTATTTTCAGTAAATTTAATACTTTTTAATAAAACTCCAATTGGTGATGTCATTTCAATTTCCATAACTTCCTCATCTCCAAGTGAAAATTCCTTCTCAATTGAACATAATTTGTATTTAATTTTAAGTTTCTCATTGAATGTTTCTTCACTTTCTTTATCAGTAGATGTTTTTAATATTACTCCATGATGACAATTTAGACTTAAACACTCAAGAACTTTAATAGAAAGTTGTAGTCTATCCATATCAGTCTTAAATTTTATATTCCATCCAACTCCTTGACTGTCTTTAAAGTACCAAAATCTATTTTCTTGAATCTACTCAGGTGAATTATTTCTCTTTATCTATCATATTATCTAAACAAATAAAAACTAACAAACAACTATAGGAAAATTAGTGTAAATCACACTCTTTGTTATAATCACATTTCCTGTTTTATAGAGTATTAAAGAAAATACTTGCTCTTCATCAATCACAGCAATAGCAACATTCCCTTGATTAATTGGTGTTCCATTTTCATATTTAAATGCCTTTCCTGTTTTAACAATCAAAGGTGCTTTCTTTTCTACTTTTGTTATTGAAGAAGTAATAATAGTTTTGTCAGTAGAAATACTTTGTTTACGAGGAACTTTAATAGCAAAGTCTGTGTCAGTTGTTAGATCAAACATTCCAGAAATTGTGTCTTTACTTTGTTTATGAGAAGTAAATTCACTCATCTCGACTTTTTTCGTTTCTTTTGTTTTTAAGTTCTTTTTTTTATGGAGATTGTTGTTGTTATAAAAAAAAGAGGAGTTGTTTATTTTCTTTTGACAAAAACATTCAATATATTATCTTTTAAAGAAATTGTCATAAATACTCCTCCTATCATTTCTTTTCAGTTGCTAATGACATTAGCTCTTTACGAAGATATGGTTTTTCTACTGATTTATAGTCTTCAAAAACTATTAATAATATAGCTCCTGGAACAAGATTCAATTTGGCTAATGTCTGTTCGTCATTTTTAATTAAATCACGTTTTCCTGTAGACAGTTTTAATGCGTATTTTACTTTTAAACGAAGAGATTCTTCAATAAAATTATAAATATCATGTGTTGTTTGTAAAGGATGAAAACAACGAATTAATTCAGTATTATCAGGAAATTTTATTTTAATAGTTGTTTTCTTGTATTTTGAATTTCTTATAATTCTTTGATCTTCTTGATATGATTTTGAAACCAAATGATCTGGTTTTTGAGTTGGTTGCATAAGGATTTTAGCTTCATTTGGAGTTAGTTCATAAAAAGAATCAGGATATGATTGAACAGGTGTTAGTGGTGTAATTTTTGGTAAAATAACTTGTAGATTATATTCATTTGGAGAAAGAGTTGGTTTTGGTAAGTCTTGTTTTCCAATTTTATTATCATAGTTTGTTACAGAAGGAATTCCAGCTGGAGTACTCCATTTAATAGACATTACTTAACTTAGTATTATTATTTTTTTTAAGATACTTTTCAATTAAATTTTTTATTCTAATTTAGTTTTGAAGTTTTAAATAACAAATTTAAAAAAGAAAGTTTTGAGATTGAGAATGATATTTTGATATGAAAAGAAGATTAAATTACTTTAATGAATCAAGTGAAAGATTTGAGTTTAATATCATAAGTTTAAGTTCAGAAGGGATTTTAGTTTGTGTTAAAGGACGACCTTCACATAAATAAAATAATGCAGGATTAATTCTTTTTACTTTTGAAATGAAATAATCCCAATGAATGCTATCTTTTCTTCTTCCATTATTCATTTTTTCATTTCTTTCATGTTGTTCTAAAATATCCGTCAAAGTAGTTTTATCTAAAGCAAAAGCAGATAACCAATGATCAAAATATGATTTATTTCCATTTATAATACATTGGTAATATAAACATTTAGACCATTTTAGTGGTTCTAATAAATTATAATATTTTGCAAAGATAAAAGCATCATCAAATGAAGTAAAATACATCATTTGATTTAAAGCTCGTTCACTATTTAATCCAATTAATTGAACATTATCGAAATAAATTTGTAATGATAAAATACCAATCATTTGTCCTGATTTATTTGCCCAATAATATTCTTCTTCATTTCTAAAGAATCCAATAGCACGAGCATAACATTTCATTGCTTCTATAAATTGAGGATACCACATTGATATAGGCATTGTTACTTTAATTTGATTTGAAATTGTAGTAACAAAATTTTGAACGATTTTATTAGCCTTTTCAAAATAAAAAAGACCACCTTCCATTGAAGTATTTAAAATAGCATAACAATCAGAAATAATTTGTTCATAACTTGAATGATATTGTAATTCAGGATTTGTTTGAATATCTTTTAAGTCAGAAAGATAATAAATTTGATTTTCAAATAAACTTTTTTCTTCAATTGATGGAATAATTTGTTGACTATCAAATTTACTTTTAAATGCTTGTTGAAGTGCAATTTTAGGTAAACTTATATATTCTTTGTCTTCTTCATTTTTAATTAAAAATTCATTTAATGTTTTGGTTTTTACTGCAAATCTAATAAAATGAATTAAATTTTGTGTTTCTAACATTTCATTCATTCTTTTTGAAATTACTTCCATTAATTTTCTCATTATTTCTGATGAACATTTTATTTCTCCTGCAATATAACAACATGAAAAACATTCAGATAATACAAAATAATTTTCTGTTTCACTACAATATTGTAACATTATTTCAATTATATTTTCAGGATCTTTTAATAATCCTAAAAATCCTTTAATAATATTTACTGGATATCCTGTAATACAAATTGGTTTTACATTTAATGCCATATCAACATATAATCTTGATAATATTGGTACTAATTCTTTATCTTCTATTAATTCCCAATTAATAAATTCTTTTGTTTCTTCAAAAATTAAATTCCAACGTGTTAATTTTGATGCAAATTGTTTTAATGTAGTTATTCCACATATAGTACTAACAACATCTAATAATTTACTTCTAAATACACTTGAATCTCTTAATAATGCTAAAATAACTGATTTATCTGGATAATATTTATATACAATTAAATATCTCATTTTTAATATTTGTATTCCTCTTCTAATTTGACTACTTTGTTTCATAAGTTTTTCAAGATATTCAATTCCTTCATTTATTGGGATAGTATAACTTTGTGGATTAATAATAAATTCATATCCTTCTTTAAAAATTTTCATTTCACTACAACTAATTTTTTCATTCATTATCATTGCTAAACTATAATCACCTCTATTCACAAGATAATAAACTGATTCTTCACTTGCTTTTTCAATATATGCTGCTCCAATATTTTTACTTTTACTTTCTTCATAAATATGTCTTAATTTTTCTGCCTTTTTAATCATATTTTGTGCTTCTTTACAACTACCTTCTTCTTTATTTAACCATTCTAATGAATAATTTAAAATTATTAACATTTCATTTGCAATATCTTTATATTTTCTTTCATAATCTTGATATGAATTCATTCGTATTGCTTCATCAAAGAAATACTTTCCTGCATCAACAAATCTACATGTTCTTTTACAAATGATTTCATTGATTTTATCCCAACGTTCTTTTCCTTTTAATTTATCTTTTTTAATCATTTGTTCAATCTCTTTTTGAATTGGTAAGAAAATATCATTAGGAACATATTCTACAGCAAATGAATGTGCCACAATATATTCTCCATTTATGATTAATTCATTAACAATTTCTTCTTTTTGACAATCTCTTTTTAACTTTAATCCAAATTGATCAATTAACTTATTTATTTCTTTTCTTTCTTTACATATTTGAATAACTTCTTTTGGTAATTCTTCAATTGTTAATAATTCTTTTAATAATCTTTCAATCAATTCAGGTGATGAAATATGTAATTTAATAAATTTTATGATAATACAATTCATAATTTTTATAATATTTTCTATTGTTCCAACTTTCCATTCTTTATTTATTATTGCTTCATTTAGTCTTTTCTTTAATTGAATAACTTCTCCAAAACTAGCAATAGAAATAAAATAGACTATCTTAAAGAAAAATGTTAATGGATTATTTCTATCAAAGAATTCAAATCCTTCAATAATTCTATCACATTTAAATTCATGATCAATTAATTGATTAATTACATATATTAATCCTTCTTCTATATTATCTGTTTGACATGTTTGTAATGTTTTACCAATAATTGCACTTTCAAAAAACCTCAATAATAATAATGTTCTTTCTCCATCTTCAAATATCCAATTCATATAACTTAATCCACTTTCTTCTTCATTACAAAATCCTTTCATAATAACTCCAATACTTTGACTTAAAAATTCTTCATTTTCATTAATTTCAATATGACTTTTTAATGGTGATTCTGGCCAATTTTCTTTTACACATTTATCAATTAAAGTATTACTATATCCATGTTCATCACTACTTTCTAACAATTCTATTAAATTCTCATTCTCACATATAATTTCAATTTGTCTTTCACTTAATTCTAATCCCCATCTATTTGCTAAATAATTTCTTAATTCATTAGCAAGATTAATAGGTTCTGCTCTTCTTTCTAAATATTTAAGAAATTCTATTTTATCTTCTTGTTTGTCTAATTCTTCAATTCTTATTATATTCTTATATTCTTGATTTCCATCTTCTTCAATTACATTTGCAATAAGCATATTAAGTCGAATATATTTATCTCCTAAAAATTCTTTAATAAAACTTGCCATTTCTCTCATATCTTTATTAAATAAAAGAATATTCTTACTTTCTTCCATTACTTCTTTATTTCTAATTACTTCAATAATTCTTTTATCACTTAAATAATCTTTTAAATTCATTTCATATCTTTTTATTTCTTTCTGTGGAAATGGCATTTTAAATGGTTCCATTGGTTTATATTCTGTTTTCATTAATGTCTCATATAACGGTATAATTTCACATCCTTCTGGTTCTTCTTTTTGAATATCAATTTTATTATTTATAACTTTTTCTTCATTTTCATCATTCCATTCATCCATTTGAATAATTTTTTTCATCCATTGTTGTGGAGCTTCTGTATTATGATACCTTTCTTTAATTTCACAAAATGTTGGAAGATATTCAATACCTTGAATCATATCTAAATACTTTCTTTTAACTTCATTCTTTCCAATTAATAACGTTCTCATTAATTCACTATTAATTCCTTCATTTTCTGCTTTATTAATCATTTCTTCATTTGGATGTGTTATCATATATGTATTAATACTCTTTCTAACAATTAATGGTGTAATTTCTTTCTTTTCATTAATTTCTTTAACATTTTCTTCTTTTCCTGTATTAAGTATTCCTTCAATTTCTTTTACTTTTCCATGTAATAAATTAAATTGAATTTCAATATCTTCTGTTTCATGTTTTCCTTCTTCTTTAAGAAGCATATTTTTTTCTTCTTCATCTAATTGTTCAATATCCTTAATACTTAATCCTATTGCTTTTCCATTTGTATTATCAATTCGTGGAATAATAGCAATATTATCTGAAAATCCTTGCTCATATGACATTCCATAATTCTTCATTATTTCATTTGTAAATTCACTTTCTAATTGTTCTTGTGTTTCATTTATTTCTTTTATTCGTATTTCATACTTCTTTTCAATTTTTATTTTATCTAAATATTCTTCATATTCATTCATGTATTTATTCTCCTCAATTAATACTTCTTTCATTATATTTTCAATCTCTTTTCTAATAATCATTAAATGTGTATTATCATATAATTCTTTCATAATTAATTTAATGTCTTTGTATCCTAGTCTCATTAATAAATGAATAGCTTCTTTGATTTTTTGATTAGCAACAAATTGATATACAAATTTCATACAATATTCTTTAATTTCTTCTGATTTAAATCCATACTTATTCATTGTTGTAACCATATTTCCATTCATAATTCCATCTAATAATCCAATCTTCGTTTGTTCTGAAATATTTTCAAAATTCCCTGATTTTCTCATCATACTTTCTTCTTTCTTTATTTGTTGTTTTTCATTAGAAAGTAACATATCTTCTTCCATTAAAATTGTCTCAACAAATTTTGTTTCATTTTCTGCATATTTCATAATTCCTTGTTTGTTGTTGTTATGTATTTCTTTCACAATACATGCCAATCCAATCTCTGAAATAATAGAAAGGTCTCTATAATACATTTTCTTTTCTACTCCTGAATTATAATAATCTTCTGTAATCTTTAACGCTTGTGAAACTTGAACATCTTTCATTTCTTCTAATATTTTCTTTGCACTATCTAAACGAAGTCCTCTCATTGAGTCTTCAAACTCAATTAACTTTCTATCTGCATTTTGTAATTCAGTGTTTGAATTTACTAACTTTGTCCACATTTTCTCAAATCCTAAACTAATCATTCCTCTCAGAAGACTATCTGATTGTACATCTCTAACATAACAAATAATGTTTTTATTTTCTAACATAATAATTGATCCACATCCTCCATATCCAATAAATGCATATGACTTTACTCCTGTAGATAGTAATGGTTCTTCTTTTATATCACAAATATTATATGTTTTAATACTTTCTCCTATAACACATAAAACAGAAGTTGAACTAAGATAAACATCAGATACATCTTTTTCATTAATAACCATAAATGAATTTGAATTTTGTGCAGAAAGTTGAAAGAAAAAATCAATTTGACTCAGTTTCATTTGAGTCATTTGAATACTATTTCTATTTCTAAATATTACAACTTTATCATCATAAATAAATGCAAAATATTCTAATTCTGAAGTAAATGTAAACTTTTTTGGAAGAGATGTTAAAAATGTTAATGTAACTGAAAACGGTGGAACACGAGGAATGAATAAATGTAATTTTTTATCCGCTGTAATTACTGCTAAAATGTTATTTTGTGATGAGTGTAACAAATAATTTTTGAATGGAGATAACATTGATGGTCTAAATGTTGAATTATATCCAATAACATCAACTCTATATGGACGAAAGATACACACAAGAAATGCATCATAAGTTGAATGTAAAATTAATTTTTCATCATTTAATGATTCTGTAAGAATAAAATCTCCTGAATTAAATCCATGAAAAACAATACTTTTCTTAGTATAATATACTACTCCTTCATTCTTTCCTAATAACACTGTAATAAATTCTTTTACTTCAGAAATTATTGTTTCTTTCTTACTTGAAATTTCTATTATTTTTAATGTATTTTCTTCTTGACAACAAATATGTGTATGAAGTGGAGATATAATAACTTTATTTTTCGTATCTATTGGTAGTTCTGAAAGAATTAGTCTACTATGTGGCATTCTTTGTTAACTACTTTTTAATATCAACTTTCTTTATCTATTTCCTTTTTTTCTTTCGATTCTTCTTTCTTTTACTATATTTTATGGTTTTTTTATTATTCTTTATAATTTCTTTTTACAATTCCTTTTTCTTCTTTTCAATTCTTTATAATTCTCTTTAAATAAAAACAATCATCACTTCAATTAAATAGAATAAAGTGTCATTTCATTATCACATAATAATCCAATAACCCCAATTTCTAAATTCACTCCCATCGTTAAAACATTTGTATTGTGTGGTGGTGATATTGGCGTGAATCTTACCTCATTTGATTGAGTTGTAATCACATGAATGCCTTTCTTACACAATACAATTAATGGAAATTTAGCAAGATGATTAGAATAAACTGTATAGATTGCAGAACCATCTAATTCTATAATATTTTTTTTTCTAGAATTTACTCGATGAACAAGAGGATGTATATGTAACTTTCCATCCAGTGTGCCAACATACTAGATAATGTTAATAGACATATTAATTTATAATGGTAATGATAATATTATAACTCTTTTTGATATGTTAAATACTAATGAGACAAATAAAAAAAAAACAAACTAATGAATCTATGGTATAAGTAATTGATGTAATTGGTGCATGATGTTGGAAAATTTCAGTAAGTGATTCAGACATAATTGAGTATTCAACCAAATCACCATTAATAAATCCAATGAAAACACTTCTTCCATTATTTGTCATTGCAGTAATTTCATTTTTAAACAATTTATTAGCTATTTGTTCATGTCCACGAATTACAATAAGTCTATTAAATGAGATAAGAGCAAGAATATTATCTTTTTGTTCTACTTGAGTGATAATATCATTTTGTTTAATAACATACTTTGATAATGAACCAGGATCAGTTATTAAACCATCTTTAAAAGGATCAAATGAAACAAATGACATACGTAATGAATTATCCTCATTCTTAAAGATAAACCATAACTCAAAAGTATAACTATATGTACTACGAATAAGAAATGAAAATATTATTGGTTTATTATATGAGTATTGAGTTATTGGAACAATAGGTGTTTCAGTTTGATTGCTTTTGTAAATATTAAATCCAAAAGAATATGATACTATGAGATAACAAAACGTTTCACAATTTGATGGTATAACAAATAAGTTAATAGGTATTTCTGTTATTTCGTTTTGAATATTAAATTTATGTGTTTGTGAAAGTGTCCATGCATGGGGAGTTTCTTCAATTTCCATATTTTTAAGACTACTGATATTTTCTAGTATCTTTCTTTGTTTTTCTTTCTTTTTATGAATAACATAAAAGTATTAATCATATTTTAAAATAACAAATTTAATATCAGAACTTAAAAAAAAAAAGAAAAAAAAAAGAAAAAACTAGAATTGTTTTTGGATAAGATTTTTGATGAGTAACAATTCGGTAATTAATTACTATAACACCATTCTTCTTGGGAGATGGAAAAAAACAAATAATGATATTAACAAATTGTATAATTATGCATTAACACATCCTGACAAAAGAGTTTCTGCTGATTCAATGTATGATGCTCAAATGATTTCTGGAGAATGTGATATTCAAAAATTATTATTTGCTGCAGAAAGATATTGGGAGAGTGAAATGGATATTAAATTATATAATGGAGTATCATTTGATGAATGTATTTTATTAATGAATGATTGTTTTGAAAAGATATTAGAAAAAGCAGAAAAGGAAGATCCAACAAATATTTCAATGTATTCAATTAGATTTGGTACTATGTTGTATACATTAGAACATCCAAATATGGCATGTACATATTATTTAAAAGCATTAGTTCCATCAACTTCATATGAATTACAATATTTAGTATTTGAAACAATTTGTATGTTATCAGTTAAATATGGTTTGTTTATTATTTGGTTTATAAAAAAAAACAGAGAAGTAAAACAATATTATTTGTATTGTTCTACATTGTATTAAATTATTTAATTTTATAATATGAATATAACTAATTTATCAAGAATTATCCACAGCACAAACAGCAGCATTTGAACAATTAAAAAAGTGTTTAGAACATGTTAATGTTAGTGATGATGAAACAACAACATTTTATCAACAAACTATTGATATATTACTCTTTTCAATATTAATTTTACTTTCAACAAATGGACATCCAAATGCTATTGCAGAACAATTTAATTTATATTGTACATGGATGGCAAAACCAAGAAATCAATTTAAAGTAACAGTTACACAAAATACATTTCAAAGTTATAATAATTCTATTACTCCTGATCAATTATTTAAAACATGTGTTGTTTTAGACAAAGCAATAGAAAGTGATATGAAAGGAATGATTAATTATAATAGAGTAAGAATTTTATTTAAATTTATTGTATCAATATTAAAAGTAAAATCTTATGACAATTTATTTTCAACATTTGAATTAACAGAAAAACAATTAGTTGATTTAATTCCTGAAGAACACCGAGAATTATTTTTATATGTTTGTTCTAAAATCCATATTCTTCGTCAAAATCATTTAGAGCAAGTTTCATTAGTACAACAACAAAAAGACTCTAGTCAACCAAAAGTAAAAGAAGATGATAATAAAACTGAAGAAATTAAAAAAGAAATAACAAAATGAATTTAAAATTAACTTTTTAAATGTTATTTATTATCTTCTTTTATTTCATTAAATTAAGTAATAAAAAGAAGAAGTAATATCTAACCAATTATGACTCATTATAATTTAATATTATTTTCTTAACTTTCATATACTTTTTACCACTTTCTTTTTTTTAACTTGTTATATTAAACCCTTTTCAACCCTTTAAATTCCATTTCATCATTACAAATGAAATATACTTGTGCATTATTTGATTTAGACGGTACTTTACTTGATACAGAACCTCTTTATGCAGCAATTAATCAAGAATTTATTAATTTATATGGAGATGGAAAGAACTATGATTGGGAAACGAGAAAACAAGTTATGGGAAAGTCAGCAGAATATGCCAATCCAATTATCATTCAAACACATCATATTTCAAAAACTAAAGAAGAAGTTTGTTAATAAAAACAATAAATAATATTTAAGTAATAATAACAAAATTTAGATGGTTAAATTTAAGAAAGAACGATTAGCACAACTTTGTGAAGAAGTAAAACCATTTCCAAAAGCATTAGAAATATTAAAGTTTTTAAAACAAAAAGGTTTAAAAGTTGCTATTGCTACAAGTAGTGCAAAAACAATTTTTGAAACAAAAATGAAAAAGAATCAAGAATTATTACAATATGTAGATGTAGTAGTTTGTGGAGATGATTCTTCTGTTCATCACTCAAAACCTGCACCTGATATTTTTATTAGAGCAGCAGAACTTTGTGGAGAAAAAGATATGAGTAAAACAATTGTATTTGAAGATGCAATTAATGGAGTAGAAGCAGGATTGGCATCAGGGGCATTGACAATTGCTATACCAGACATTCATATTAAAGATGATCCATTATTTAATCGAGTTCCAATAATATTAGAATCTTTAAAAGAATTTAAACCAGAAATGATTGGATTAGAAGGAGAAATTTAAATAATAATATTTCTTTACACTTACAAAAAAGAAAAGAAAATTAACTCTATTTTTTTTTCTCTTCTAAAATAATAAATACAATTAATAAAAGAAATTCAATTAAACTTTCATTTGTTTAATATTATTTTTTATAGCTACATAATGATTAATAGTAAAATTATATAATTTAAGCTTTTGCAACTACAGCTTTAGGACAAAGAGAATCATTTTCATTAATTGGTGCCTCCTCTTTTTTCTCTTCTGTTTCTTTATTATCTTCTTTGTTTTCTTCTTCTTTATCCTTATTATCTTCTACTTTTTTATATCTATCTAATAAGAATTTAAAACTTTCCAACATATGAGGTGGTTCTTCCCCTTCTTTCCAATCAGGATAAGGAATATCACTTAAAATTTCTTTAATTCTTTCTTCATTTAATACCTCATTTTTCTTTAAAGTAACAATTTTACCTCCAATCTCAAGTTCTTCTCCTTCAGTTTCTGGGTCATACTTATTCCAATTTTCCCATTTGTATTTCCAATCATGATCAGATCCTTGTTTATCAAACAATCTTCTTTCTTGTTCAACTTTCTTTTCATCATTTAATTTTCTTTGTGTTCTTTGAGCCTCTTCAAGAACAAACTTTTCTTCCATAGCAAGATTTTGATCATTTTTAATAATAGCATCAGATACTCTTTTAAACAATTTTTCTGATTCAAATGGATGTAATTTGTCAAATTCTCTTACTAATCTTTGTTCTTTTGTTTTCTTTAATTCTTCTACTTTAAAGAAAGACTTTTTCTCTTTTGTTCTTTTGTCAGTAATGAATAATTCTTCATCATATCTACCATTAATTTCATAAATTGGTTTTCCTTCTGGATCACTAATTATTCCATTAATTTGCCTATAATTTGAACTACTAAACATTGACATTGTTTTAAATTCTACTTTAGCTTTATATCCAGATTGTTTACAAACAAAGTTTAATACTCCACCAATTTCCATAGTTAATGGTGGAATATAAATACCAGTGACTAATGCCATAGGGAAATTCCATTCATAATCTTCATCAAATTTAGTAAATTTTGCTTTAATTAATCCTTGAATACCAGCAGATGCTGATAATCCATTAAAGGTGGTAACAAAATCAAGACTTCCAGTTCCTACCCATCCAGCTTGTCTATTACATGCATAAATAGATGAAACAGGTGGATGATGTGATGTTTGTTCTGCAATAAAGAATGTTTTACTTCCATCTGCATGTGACCAAGATGTTCTATAAAACTCACCTAATAATGGGTTATATGGTTTCTTACAAGCTTTTGGTGTAATATAAAATCCTGATAAAAAGAATTGAACTAATTTAACCATTCTCTCTTCTGCAGTAGGAGCGTTTGCAGCAGCATTAACTAAGTCAAGATGAGTAAAATAATCAGTTAATTTTTCCAATAAAGAACGTGGTTCCATTACATGTGTTGGCATTGTAATTCTTTCTAAAGACATACCTGGACGTAATTGTTTAAGAATCTCCCAAATAATAGACTTACCATCTCCTTTTTCCATAGCATCTACAAACTCTTGTGTCTTTTCTTCTTGTTGAACATAAACAGTTCCATGGAGTTGTTTAATTGCATCTGAATCAATTCTAATTGGTGTAGTCATTCTTTATTGTTTTATAAGTTTGTCTTATAAGGGTTTTTATATAGCAATCACTGAAAAATGGCAGCAAAAGAGACAAACAAATAAAAATAAACGAACTTTTCTGTACTTTTCTTTTCTTTATTTTTTGAATTTGTAATTCTTTTTTTCCCCCCACTTCTTCGGGATTTCATCACACATCAAAAAAGGACATTGAAAAGTCACTGTTCTATTTTTATCACTTTTTAAGGATATTAATCCAAAGAACTTTCTTTCTCTTTTTTCTTGTGGGATGTTTAACCATCGATGATTCTTTTTTTAGATTAGGTTATCTTATAAATAAATTCTGTTAGATGGTTTTTACCTTCTCTATTAGGTAATTATTCTCTTTTTCTGCGAAAAGTATTTTCTGTCTATTTTAAAATGAGAAATCTGATTTTAGTAACGTATAAAAAAGTTTTGTATCTCAAAAAAGAATCAAAATAATTATAAATTAATGTTATATAAAATAAAATTTATTAAATCATCTGAATAACAATAATTCTAGAAACTAAGAAATTGCTATTTCCACATAATGCCTTAGTAATACCGTAATATTCAAATGATTGTTGTTCACAAAAGTTTTCATATTCACTTCCTTTTTTCCATATAAAAATATCTCTAAATCCCATCCAAAAAAGCCAATCCCAATCATCTCCCCCAAGACGAAAAGCATCTCTTTTTCTTTCACTTTTAATTGGGAATTTCATCATAGTTTTAATACGACCATTAGACTGTAATGAAAAGACAAATGATTCAGTGTCATCAGTTAAACAAGCACGGTCTATTAAACAATTTACATATCCTCCAAAAACATTATTTTTTGTATCTTTGATTACAAACACTAAATTTTTTCTATTTAACACTCTTTGACCAAATACAGAACTTCCTTTACTCCAATCATCTACATTTGAATCAAAAATAATAGTCCCAACTTTTAAGTTTGTCCATTCTTCAACTTTATCAATTTGATCTTTCTCTAAAAACGCAGTAACTCGTTCTCTTTCTTTTCGTACAACAATAATCTTTTCACTTAATCTTTTTTCTGATGTTTTTAACATTCTATTTACAAGTTCTGTCGTTTGTGTTCTTGTTAAATTATATCCACATCCTAAAACAACATCACTTTGATCTTTGGCAAGATGAAGCTTTCGTTTTAACAAATTTGATTTTTTAACACTTAATTTTCCTTCATTGAATGCTGTTAATACAAATTCATAAATTGGATCTCCTCTAAAATAATCTACAATGAATTCAAATTTTTCATCTGACATAGCAATAATTTTATTAACGTTTGTTGTATCATCATTTGATACTATTTGTCCTAATTTTTTAGATTGATCTAATAATTCAGGGGTAATTTCAAATGCATTAACAAGTTCTGTTTCTGCCTTTTCAGATAATACGTGTTTTTCCATGAAGTCAATAGCCGCAAATGAATTCCCAATTCCGGAGTATTGAACTAAATTTTTAATAGTCAACGCTTCAGAAAGGACACTTATTAATAACTCAAAGCTTCTTTTAGTTTTTGATTCTGCCATAATATTAACACTATTCGTAAATTCTGTCCATAACTTGCTATTAACTAACATATTGATATTTATTAGAATTTAAAGATTATTTCATTTTTTTATTTTGAAGGCAGGTTTAGAAACTAGTGTTGTTTATTTTTTTTTGAATTAATTGATATTTATTTTCGTAAAAAATTAATACTTTTTTTATTTCTTTCTAATACTATGAAGTAAAACAAAATAATTTGAAATTATTAAAAACTATTTCATAATCATAGTATTTGAAGATGGTAAGTCAGTCATATCACTCAATCATTAAATTAAATCTTTTTTTGAGACATTTGTTATATTTTGATAAATGTGTTGTATAAATTACAAAAAAAATATTAAACAATGTTGAAAGAATGATAGTTGTTATAATTTATGATGAAATACCATTTTGTTTACAAAGAAGTATTTTGTTTGTAGAATGGAAGTCTATTTGATAAAGAAAGGATGAAATGAAGACAAAGAGAATCCGAAAAGATATAAATGATGAATAAGAATAGAAAAGAGAAACACACGAAGACAACAACATAAAAAGAGAAAATAAATAATGAATAGATTCAAACATGAATCAAAGAAATAAGAAGAGTTACTTCAATGAAGAATAACAAAAGAAAAAACCAAAAGAATAACAACCCACAACATAATAAAGAAGAAATAAACATAAAAACACAATACAAGAAGAAATAAACATAACATAGAAAATAAACTATAAAGAACAAGAATAATAAAAACAAATTTATTAACATTTCATTAATTTCTTTTTATTTTTTTTTTTTTTATTCATCTTCTTTTTTATAATTTTTCTTAAAATTATTTCATTTATTATTTATTTGTTATAGAAAAATAATAATTAAATTAAGGTTATTTGTTTATTAATTCAATTTATATTCTCTTGTTTTTTTTCTTCAACTTCTTGTTGTGTTGTTTGTGCTTCTTCCTTCTTTCTTTTCTCAAGCTGTTGGAACTCTTCAATTGGTACTTCTTCAACAATTTCATCGTCTCTGAACAACTTTTCTCCACAAAGACTTTTAGCTTCATTAACAATAATATCAATGTCACTATTAATTCCAATCGTTCCATCAGAACAAATCAATACTCCATTGTTATTTTTCATTTCTTTCCATTGTCTTAATTCTAATGAATATTTAATCATAAAAACACATTTTTCTTTATATTCACTAAAAATCTTTTCTAACGCTTGTTCAAGAACATGTTCTTCTCCATCAATATGTTCTACACTAAGTGCAATTGTTGTCATATCTTCTATTCTCGACACAATCCCTTGAATACTTTTTTGAGAAATTCCTGGAAGTGTAAAATATCCTCTTCTTTCAAATGGAAGTTCTTCAGTAGTAAATGCTTGAAGATAATTAACTTTTCTTGATTCAATACCTTTTTCAAAGAAAGCGTTTTTGATTAAATTTTTTGATCTAACAGTAAACTGAGTCATTCCTGTTCTTCCCACTGGACTTGAACATTGAATATGATATTCATTATCTTTTTTAGTAATTTCACTAAATGGATGACAACACAAAAAAATACCTCCAACAACACTTGAACTTCTACTAAATCCTTGTGCAACATCACCAAATCCATATCTACATAAAATAAATGGAGAAGTACCATATTTACCTAATGAATTAGCATATTTTTGAAGTCTAGATAGAATTTCTAATGGATTGTCCATATCATTATCTGATGACATACAAATTCCATAAATTACCATATCTTGACATAATTGAGATAATTTAATTGAATTCATATATTTTCTAAGACTTCTAAATGATGAAATTCCTTTATATAACTGAGTTTCTTCAGGTGTTAATTTTCTTTCAGTATAAATATCATTTAAAAACTTCATTAATTGTCTTTTTTCAATCAGAGTTAAATCGTTACATGTAAAAAGTTCATTCTTTGAATCTGGTACCTATCAAAATAATTATCAAATGTATTGTTAAAGAATTGTTAAACAAAAAACAAACTCTCATTATCTTATCTTTTGTATACAAATATACCGCATCTACAGAAAGAAATTCCATATATTTATGAATCTCTGCTTCTGCAATTAGATTTATCAAAGACCCATTTGCATAAAATAATTGTGGGGTTAAATCAATACTAATAGACCTTTGTAATGATAAATCTTTTAATGGAATTTCAATAGAGTAAGATGTGGTTAAATCTTTAATAGTATTTTCTAATTCTCTGTAGTTAATATAAGTGGAATGAACACCATACAATTGATGTGGGTCTATGACAACAACACTTTTGTGTTGATGAGATAAAGAAGCAGCAACAATAGATTCAGTTACACCTGTTCCAATAATGGCATAATCATAAACAGTAGTTTTAAATTCATCATAAGGAGTAGACATGTCTTAATACTTATGCGACTCAATTTAGTGTTTTTGAGATGAGTGAAAAGTGTTTCTTTTTAAATTTGTTTTAGGATTTTATGATAATAACATTTCAGTACAAAAGAGAAAAGAGAATATGTTATAGATGATACGATGAATTGTGTTGTTTCAATAAAAAAGTATTGTATATCATAAGAATTACAAGAAAATATCAAAATGATAAAAGAATTTATCTAAGAAGAAATAAAAGAAAACCAAAAAAAATCAAACATACTAAACCCTTGTTATCAAATTAAATTTAGAGTCTTCTTCCTCTTCTTCCTCCCTTTCTCTTAGTGCAATCAGTTGGGATTGGGGTAACATCTTCAATTCTTCCAATTTTCATATTAGCACGAGCAAGAGCTCTGAGAGCAGCTTGAGCTCCTGGTCCTGGGGTCTTGCTATAGACTCCTCCTTCACCTCTCATCTTAATGTGGAGGGAAGTAACTCCAAGGTCTTTGCATCTTTTAGCTACATCTTGAGCAGCAGTCATAGCAGCATATGGTGAAGATTCATCTCTATCAGCTTTGACTCTCATACCACCAGTAATTCTAATGATGGTTTCTTTTCCTGAAATATCAGTGACATGGACGAAAGTATCGTTGAAGGTAGCATAAATATGGGCTACACCAAATGCATCTTTAGTTGAACCTGGAATAACTTCTGGAACGTTTGACTTTGCGGCTACTTTCTTTGACTAAAAAGATTAGTATTTAGTTAAAACAACTTCATTTGTTAAAAATATAAATGAAATGTGTAGTGTAACAAACCATGCCAATGGGTTTATTTAAGAACTCGATTTAATTAGTTCAAAAGGGCTAGTAAACTATAGTTTTTTTTTAATTAATAATTAGGTTTTACTAAACCTTTTTTCTTTTTTTTTTACTTATTCACTTATAAAATGATATATATAACAATAAATAATTTTTTATAAAAAGAAATAAAAGATAATGTTATTGATATTCTACAATATGTTGAAAATTATTTTTTAGAATTTAATATGAATGTTTTAAAGTTAAAGATTGTGATAATACAAATAAATAAAAATAAAACAAATAATAATTAATACTATTACTTTATTGGTTATTTACAATTTAATATACTTGAAATAGTTTTAAGTTTATTTATGAAAAAAACAATATTATTTAATAAGTTAGTTGAAATAAGTAGAATTATTACAACTGATTTATATATTTTAGAAACAAATAAATAGATTTTAGTTTAACTTTCTTTTAAAAAACTTTTTAATAAAAGACTTATATTGAACTTTTGATGTATTTTTAATAAAGTAATAAATGTTTATCAAATTCATTTATGACTTTTATTCTTTTCTTTCTGAAAATATTACCTCTTTCTAATAATGGTTTCAATTTGTAACTGAATATTTAACAATTTTATTATTTATTGATTTTTATTCATATAACAGAAGAAATTAAAAACTCTTCTTGTCATTGATGAATAAATAAAAGAAGGAGAAACTAAAAAATGTTTAGCAGAGATTTTTATTAAAAAATTATTCAAATTACTTCCGTTTAAAACTATTTTTTCTATATTTTTTTATTTAGAACTAATAATCTATAAATAGTAGTAAAGAGGAAATTATTGTTAATTTTTTATAAAGTAACTTAATAAAATTAATAATAATAATTAAACTAAATAATTATTTATATCATATTGGTTATCATTTGATAAAAATGCTGAACCTGCATGATGATCTGTGATTAACTTTTTCATGAAAGGACTAATGAGGAAACCAATGATAAAGAACTGGTTCATGACTCTTTTAAGAGATCTAATAGTATAAAAAGAAAAGATTATATCTTATTAATTCAAAATGTACTCAAAAGACGCTTATAAAGCTCAAAAGAAAATGATGGAACACCAAATGGATATGCAAAAAGATGCTATGAAATATGCAGCTAAAACTGGTGGAGTATATGGTTGTCCACCACCAATGGGAGGTTATCCACCACAACCAATGGGAGCATATCCACCACCTATGGGAGCATACCCACCACCTATGGGGGCATATCCACCACCAATGGGAGGAATGTCAGGTCCTATGGGAGGATGTCCACCACCTATGGGGGCATATCCACCACCAATGGGAGGAATGCCAGGTCCTGGAGGATATCCAATGGGAGGATTTTAGACATTTATTGATTATTAAGAGAGTTAATAACTTATTATAAAGTCATCTTTTAGAAGTTTTTTGTCTGTTTTTTCTGTTAAAAGGATGTTTAAATAGAACAACCAAAAGTGAAATTTTTATTATTTGGGAGTAATTTATTTAAAAGAGAGTAAAACTGTTAAGTAAATCCTTTTCTTTGATTTTGTAAATGTACAGGTATGGGAGTTTTATATAAAAATTACAGACTAAAAACTGTTTATAAACCACTCCTTCTTTAAGAGGTTTTGGTAAAGAAATTGAAGTTAGCATCATACCATCACTTTCAGTTAAAATGAAAAACACAATTTTCACTGATGAGAAGATAAAGATATACTTAATTTTCTTACAAAACATTAAATTACTAATTAAACAACAATAAGAAAAGTAGTCATCATTCATGAAAGAGATAATAATAGAAAGATTAAAGAAACTCAGAGTTTATAATATGAATAAGTGATTACAATTTGAGACATATAATTTGGTATTCATAAATAAAGTTCTTTAAAGTAACAAAGATTCTAATGACATACTGTGAATTATTATATTTATTCAATAATAAGTCAATACTCAAGTAAAGAATCAATTCAATAATATTATTAAAAACATGAGTATAAAACTATCACAGTACTCATCTTTACATAACCCTTTTATGAACTATTAACGATATATTAACACTTTGATTTATATTTAATAAAAACTATTTCATAATCATAGTATTTGAAGATGGTAAGTCAGTCATATCACTCAATCATTAAATTAAATCTTTTTTTGAGACATTTGTTATATTTTGATAAATGTGTTGTATAAATTACAAAAAAAATATTAAACAATGTTGAAAGAATGATAGTTGTTATAATTTATGATGAAATACCATTTTGTTTACAAAGAAGTATTTTGTTTGTAGAATGGAAGTCTATTTGATAAAGAAAGGATGAAATGAAGACAAAGAGAATCCGAAAAGATATAAATGATGAATAAGAATAGAAAAGAGAAACACACAAAGACAACAACATAAAAAGAGAAAATAAATAATGAATAGATTCAAACATGAATCAAAGAAATAAGAAAAGTTACTTCAATGAAGAATAACAAAAGAAAAAACCAAAAGAATAACAAGCCACAACATAATAAAGAAGAAATAAACATAAAAACACAATACAAGAAGAAATAAACATAACATAGAAAGAAAAAAGCAATTAATTGAGTATTAATAGAAATAGCTTCTATTCTTCCTGGCTCAGGGGAGACTAATCTCAATGAGTTTCTTCTTCAAGCAGCTCTACGGAGTATGTTTGGTTGTGATAGAAGCAGTATTCCATGACATCCATCATGTTTTTTATTACAAGGTTTTTTACTTCTTTCTCGATGTTAATCTCAATTTTTAATTCTTTAATTAATTTATTACTTTCTTTATTTATTAATCCGTTTATTGAAATTACTACTGGATTTATTTTGACATCTTTTAACTTTTCTATTTTCATTAGCCTATTCTTTAATTCCTTATACTTATTTCTTTTCTTCCAATAGGCTCCATTAATATTGTGATAATCTACAATAGTCATATCAAATATTATATCAGTTTTATTCTTTTTATCTAATACATATATGTCTGGTATTTTGTGATATTGTCATTCACTTTTAGGCATTATTTGTTTGTTCCATATCATTGTGATGTCTTTATATTGGAACACTGTTTCATATGAAGTATTTTTATATTGATTATTTCCTGTATATTTTCTTATTAATCAATATTATAATGCCAATATTGTCATATTTTTCTATTTGTGATTTATTATGAATAATACAAGATAGTAGAATGTGTTGTACTGTAGCTATCTTGTCTTTACAAAGTGGGCAGTATTTCAATTCTTTCATTTTTCATTATTTTTGCTTTCTTATACCCACAAAATATTGCACCATCTTGCATTTTAGTTAATTGTAGAAATGCATTCTTTTTAATATTGATTGACTTCCATGCTTTCACTGTAGTAGTTTTATCTACTCATTTTGACTCAAACCATCTTCTAAAATGTCTACTTGTTTGATGACACTTCCATTTTTTGATGTATTTCTTTAATTTCATTGTGGATTATTCAAATTTCTTCACTACTTTGTTTCATTATTCTCATTTCATCCATATATAAAGTATGATTTGTTTTTGGGAATTTCTCTTCGATGATTTGAGAAATTACATTAATCTGAATGATGAAGAGTATATTTGATAATGAATCATTTGTAAAATTCCTCTATTTAATTTAATATATCCTAGATATTCATTAAATTTATAACCGATGAATATCTTCCATCTAGTCATCATACTTTCAATCATGTCAATGATGACACCCTCTACATTAAAATATTTTAATGATTCAATAACCCATTCGTGGTTTACTGTGTCATATGATTTCTTAATGTCATAATATGACTCCACATATTTTGGGTATTTTTCTTCTTTCTGCTGCCTTAACATATAACTATTAATTATTCCTTATTTAGCAGCTAAAGATTGCAACTTACATCCCAGTTGATTTCTACTAATTTTAAATGATTCATTATTCATGTTAAGTCTTCTGTGAATCTTTTCTTTTAATATGGAGGTAAATACTTTCATAATTACATTTGTACAACTGATAGGACGATAATTAGTGACGTCGTTCCTATCACTTTGTGGATTAATAAAGTTCTTCCACTTACCATGTCTAATGGGATGTTTTGAATGAAGTTCAACCATTCATTGAAGATATTGAGAATGATTTCTCTTGATGATGACATCCTTTTCCAATAATACAAATATATAATGTCTATTCCTGGTGCTTTCCAGTTATTTATTCTCATTATACTTAAATAATTCATTTATTGTTATTATGACACTATCATAATTTCTATATCTTTCATTCCACGAGGTGATTTGTTTTATTTTCCAATTTTCTTTATTTAATATCACCTGTGTTTCATATAATATTTCCAATATTCTAAAGTAATATCGTTATTTGGGTATATTTCATTATTTGGGTATTTCTTCCTTATTCTAATTTTCTTGTTAGAATCAAACATGATTTTATTTGTATTGATTCTGACTATTTCATTTTTATTAAATTTAATTCTTTCCTTTATCATAGTCATCATATATTTTAGGTACTTTATTCTTTATAGTGCTTTAACTTTTATTCCTTCTTCATCATATTCATTTAATTTCATGTTGCACTTGATTCTGTACCATTTCCTTCCCTTGACCAAATATTCTAGTCTATTCATTTTCTTTAGGATTTCTTTTATTTCATCAAATTTATCTCTTATTATTTTATTTTGGAGATAGAGGTGCATACACATTGAAATATTATTCATATCATCTTCCACTTCATGCATTCTGCTTCCTGACCATATCCATCTATTATTAATTTCCATTATTAATTGGTCAGCTTCTTTTCTTTTCCAGTAGTAATTAATGTTTGTACATTTTTCTACTTTCATTTCTTTTATTTTATTGATAATAATGTTAAGATATTCTTCATCAATTTCAGTAGAGTTATTCTTTAATATGATGTTTTTTATTATTGAATTAAACTCTACTCTTCCTTCTATTATATCATTTACTTTCACTTTAATGTATTATTTAGTACTTTCTTTTATTTTATGTGATATTTTAATATATTTAATATATTCATTTTCATTATTGACATTGATGTTTGTTGCTTTTATTATATTTTCAATTTCTTCATTTCTTCATTTCTTATATAATTTCTTATTTAACCAATTAATTCAAAACAATACAATACTTCAATTAAATTTCTATTCTATTTCTTTTGTTGTATTTCTTCTTGTATTTTTATTATGTTTTGTTTGTTATTTATTATTCTTTGTAATTTTACATCTATCATTCATTTCTTTATTTGTTTGTTTTTAATTTCTGCTTCATTTGTTTTAATTTCTTTTTCTTCATTATCTTTTGTATTTTTTTATTTTCTTCTTTGATTCTTTCATTTATCTTTTTTGATTGAATATACTTCTTGCAGAATATCATACCATCTTGTTCTTTTATCTTCTTACTTCTTGTGTATTTCTGATTATTCTCCTTTTTCCATTCGCTTGTTATTCTTTTTATTCTTCTTGTATCTCATTTATTGTTAGCCATTTGTATTTGTTATGGGTGTAATCTTTATTATTATTGTCTTTACCTTGTTTTTTATTTGTTTTCATTTGTATCTTTCGTCTTTTAATCAATTTTCCTTTGTATTTCGTTTACCATTATTAATTTTATTTCTTTTCAATTTATTGTTATTGAAATTCATTCTTTTATTGTATGACATTGAATTTTTATATCTTGTTTGGTTTTCTTTACAATACACAAAGTATTTACACAATATTCATGACATTGAAATTTGTTGTATTTACTGCATTGGAAAATGATATATCCATCATTAAACATCATTAAGAATACAAATGATAAAATCGTATTAAAATGAAATGTATTTAATTATTCAAATTTATTAATTATTCATTGATGTAATTATTAAGTTAGAATGATTAACATTATCTTTAATCTTTCATTTTAACTGTTTCTAAGTCACAATAATTGTGTTGTTTAGATTAAATAGAAATAATAAAATAAAAATAACAATGATATTAATATTGAGATATTATGTTTATTCTTTTGTTTCATTCTTTTTTATTCATTTATTAATTACCATTATTATGTTTTGAATATTGAAAATTAAATAAATGGTAAATTTTAATGCTTGGTTGTATTTCTTTTATTGTTTATTTGTATTATTTTCATTTGAATTATTATTGTTATATTATTTCTTTTAAATTATTTCATATAATTTATTCTTTTATTTCATACTTTATTCTTCTTTTGATTTATTCTTTTGTTTGGTTTTCTTTTATTTCTTCTTTATTTTCTTATTCTATCTTCTTTGCATTTTATGATATTTACTTCTATTTGAATCGTTGTTAAAATAATGAAAATGAAATAAATCATAGTAATATGAATTTAATAATAACTATAGATATTGATGTGATAATGAATGTATTTCTATCAAT